GCATTCTCTGCCTTCTGAAAGAGGAGGAAGATGGTTGTTAGCCACCCGGCGCCGAAGGAAATGACAAAAATCGGCGCCTCTGCGAAGACGTTATTCCAGCTCCACGCCGACGCTTCGCTTTCAACTCACCTTCTTTTTCTTTTTCTTCTTCTTCTCCTTGGCCCCCTGCGCGGCCTTGTGCTGCCGCACCAGCTCCGTCAGGTTGGCTACGTACTCGTCCGTCTGCTGCAGCAGGTAGGCCAAGCGCTTGTCCTTCTTCTGATCGATGAGCTTGCGGTAGCCCTCCTCATCTTCAGCCTGCGGAGAGGAGGATCGTTAACACCCCCCTAAGCGAGACGAGCCCTCTGCGCACACCCCGAACACCGAACAGCTCATCACGCGTGCGCCGCTTCCCACGCCGCCGCTTACCATCAAACGACGCATTCTCTCCTTCTCGATCCTCTCGTTTTCCTTCTTCTGCTCGCGTTCCGTGTTGGCGTGGTAAGTAGCCACCGCCTTGGTCAGCTTTTGAATTTTGCCGGTGACGGAGCGATGGTATTCCTTGAAATCTTTTGCGTGCTGGAGAATGCTGTTGAGGTATTCCTGCAGGGAAAAAAGGCAAACGGGCAGCGTCAGGACTCGTGCACTTAGGTGTTCCGCTAAGTTAAGACATCTAATGCCATAAGGTAAGCGAGATTGACTCTTCTTACATGGCCAAACCGCGATCGCCTAGCCCAAACCACCGCGATCGCCTAGCCCAAAGAGGATCTTTCTCCAACCCCCTAAAAAAAGAGGGAATCCCCTCAAAAAGTTCAGCCCTGAGAATTCCAGCTGCCCCGTTCCTCCGGTGCCCCTGAAACCGGCGGCGCTCATCGCGTCACATCTGACCTGGTGCTTCTGCCTGCGTTTCCGCTCTTGCTCGATCTTCTGCTGCTTCTCCAGCTTTTCGGTGATGCGAGCCTCGCGCAGGGACTGCCGCTTGCTGCGCTTGTACGCCTTGGCGTTCAGGGCCGTTTCCAAGGCCGTGTCTCGCCTCATGCACACCACGACTTCCTGACGCAGCTTTTGGAGAGATTCAGATTTTAAAAAAAAAACA